ATAATAAAGTATAAACAATTTATATTATTATGAGATAACATTGGGTAAGTATCGGATAATCTAATCTCGCTTGGTTGATGTCGCGCGCCGTGATTAGCCTAATATTCGAGCTGTGTTCGACTTAGTTTGCGAGTGTTCACATCGATCATTCATTTTATTTCGAATCAAAGATAACAAATAAACATAGCTCAATTATTTTTACGTTACAATTTTTTTGAACTTAGTTGGATTAAAATTTCCTACTTAAAAAATTTCTTACTTATAATTTTAAATAATTTAAGTAGCATTTATAATCCATTTTTAAATAAAAACTTTTTTTTATTCAATTAAATTGAAAAACTGCATTTCAGAATATTGAATTGAATAGTATTGCACAGAAATTGCTGATATTATTTTTGAATTTAACTAAATTAAAAAAACTGCACTTTCTGTATTCACAATTTTGAATTGAGTAGTATTCACGATGTGCAGGAAATGCTAATATTATTTTTGGATTGAAAGACATAAAGATATTTTCTATGCAATTCGTATAAATGAATTCGTAAAAATGCATTCAGGATTGAAAAGGATTTTTTTTTACATTCACGAATCCATATTTCTGAAAATCTGAATCCATTTTAATCCATTTCAATCCATTCTCGTTTGCTGGAGTGACAAATTTTTTAACCTGAATAATCGTCAACTTTAATGATTAAGACCTCAGGCTTGAGGGGCAGAATGACTTCTGACAGATATCTTCGTTTTATGCAAAAACACATCAAATAAGCGAAATTTTATTGATTTTTGAAATGACAGGGGAGGGGAGGCTAAACTGAATTATTATCCTTTTTTCTTGCCAAGTCTTTATTTTTACGCGAAAAATTAATAAAACTAGACTGGACGTTTTTCATAAAACGAAGGAATTTAAGATAGAGAAAAGCGGCAACCTGCCTCGCGAATCTGAGATATTGATCTACGACTATTCAGATTAGGAAATCTATTACAGTCAGGTACTGACCAATATCGTACCGCTGCTGAGGACAATCGATTCTTGACAGGAAGAAGGATGGAATAGACTGGGAAAGAAAAATACTATAACCCAAACACAAATAGCACAAAGTTGGCCACACTTACGCAAAAAATAATGCATGCAATATTTAGATATGAGGTGCGTTCGGCATTGCAAATCGGAGGCGTCTGTTTGTTCTTTTACCTCGAAAATTGTTCGAGACAACTCGCATCTTTTGTTACATGTCATCTCATCTGCGTTCGGTATTAACATTTCTAGAGCTAATCGAGCTGCTCGATCCATTCCGGATTCGAAAACCGAGCTCGCTGAGCTAATGCACATTTTCGCCTAAATTAAATTCATAACTTGTATATTTATGCTAATGTATCCAACTGATTCGTTAACACATAACGTACATTCATCTCTTTTAATACTTCTATTTTACAAATAGTGTATTTGAACTGTTATAATGTCTGAATCTACAAACGCTCAAACAAATGTTAATCAAATAGAAATTGATGAAGTACATTATGTATAATTTTTAACGAGGAAAGTAAATTTTTAATTCTTTTTATGAATTTGAAGTTACATATTTGAAAACAAAGAATTTGCTAATTAATTTTTAGATCAAAGCTTATGTTGCACATATAGAATGAAATAAAATTAAACTATATTAATATATTAAAGACTCCTACGAAATATAAATCAAGTAATATAACTTATTGTAGAAGTCTAATAAAGTAGATGCGAAACCTTCTTCCCTGTTGGTTCAAATTTCGCGGAATTAGACCAGATCGTCGTGGCGAGGCGATCTGGAGTGTGCGAACTGATTGGTACGTGTGATCGCAGGGCACCTAATGAGGAGGCCCGAGAGAAGCAGAAGGATCGGGGGATCCTTCGAGAGGGGAGAACGACCTTGGAGGAAGATAGTCTCACGTTTCGCTAAAAGAAAATAAAAAAGTGTTCAACTTTACATCTCATAAGTGCCTTTTCAAGTCCTCAACCTTTTCTCTATATTTATGTCAGAAGTGGGATTTGACTCGCGATCGAACTATCCGACAAATTATTAAGTTTGTGATTTAAGAAACTTTAAGAAGTGTGGCGAGTGAAATCGCTGTTATGGCGGACGAAAATTTTACGGTCGCGCAGTTGAAGACGACTTTTAAGTAACTCAATCTGCCCTAATCGGGCACAAAGCAACTCTAAGGAAAAAATTGATTACGTTCAGCAAGCGTAACGGTTGCACAACGGTTCAATGAAAAGCTGAACGCGCTATTGTTAGTACCCGATACGCAACGTGTTTACTAAGCGGACGCCATTTTTTCCATCATATTTTAAGCCGCTACATGAGCTCAACGTGTTGTCGGTGTATAAACAACATAAATAAACAATATAAATATACCTAAATAAACACGTTTTTTCTATTCAAAAGACCAGAAGGAATCTGCCGATATATTTTTAAAACATGGACGAATTGGAAAAGGAATATAATAATATCATATATAAACTCTTTGTAACAAGAGATGTGCACAACAGTTTACAGAACGGTTATAAAATTTTCTATCTTTTGCTTGTAAAATATAAATTTATAAATTATGCAATGGGTAAATATGCCGAATAGGGCAGCATTAATGAATAACGAGTGAATGAATAACGGTTAAAACTTGGTGGAGGTTACTCAGGGTCATAAGATGACCTTGACAAGATATGTTAAGGTCATCGAGAATGCTCCCCTATTCGGCATATTTACCATGCAATGTTTTTTCCATAAATCCAAATTGTTTTATTATAATGTTCTATTGTTTACAGATTCAAACTTTTTAACGACATATTTTACCGAAAATATGCCCTCACAAGAAGCAATATGCGTTTCAGAAAGTATAATATTTACAACTGATTATAAACAATTTTTATAATCAGTTTTTTAATCAGCTTTTTAAATATATTACATATATTTATTTAATCTCTTTATTTATTAATTTTATTTATATAATATTAGTTAAGAGGTCTGTTAAGAGATCTTAAAATATTTTATTTATTTTTATTTCCAGTTTTTAGATGGACAAAGCAAGCAACGAAATTGTTCTTGCAAGCATATTTTGAGAGAAAAGAGCAGTTCCGCGATCCCAAAGCACGGAAGAAAAGTTTATGGACACAAATATGCAACATAATGTCAAATAAAGATTACAATGTAGATGAAGATACATTAGAAAAATGCGCAATTTGAAAAGACATATCGTACAATAAAGGATAATAATAAGAAAAGTAGTACTGGAAGAGGTCGCATACATTGAATATTATGATACTTTTGAAGAGATATTTAAAAATGATGCAACTATAAATCATGGACCAGCATTATCTTCAATGTCATCCACATCAATAAAAAAATCAATTCCATCTACGTCAAGAGTTACAAATTCAGTGCCATTCACATCAATAGATGCAAATTCAATGTCATCCACGTCAACAGATGCAAATTTAATGCCATCCACGTCAATAGATGAAAACTCAATGTCATTCATATCAAATGAACAAATCAAGTTTTTTGAAACTAATGATCAGGTAAGCTTAGCTTTATTATAATCACTATGGTCCGTATTCAGAACACGTTTATTGATAAAAGCGCGCCTTTATCTCTGAAATTCTATAGTATGCGTAACGTAAACTATGGCATGTTAGAGCGCTAACATCATTATAAGTGCGTTCTGAATACGGGCCTATGTTTCGAAACTAGCAATGAAATAAATAGAAGTGGTTTTCAGATAATAAACACAAAATAAAATGTCATCTGCAGTCAGTTGGACTATCATCAGAATCACGCCAAATTCCGATAAAGAAAACAAAAGAAATAGGATGAAGATCGTTAATGCGAAAGAAACAATTTGATGCAGAAAACAATAAAATAGAAGAAATAAAGAGATTAAAAGAGGCGATGGATAATAGTAATAAATTACAAAAAGAAAGTAACAGTATACTTGAAGAACGAAATGATTTATAAAAAGATATTCTCTTGGAAATGAAACAAAAGAAGAAAGAAAAAGAAGAATGATTGATACTGGTATCATGATTAAATATCAAGTTTTACTATTGATATATTGCTTTTTTTAGTTTTAAGTATGTTAAAACATAATTGATTTATTATGCAGGTACAGGGTGGGCCATCTATTGGTACGTTTTTAAAAATGCGATCAAATGAGCATACATTGATATTTTTTATTAATTTTTTTTTTGTTGTGAAGCTAAAAGTATCCGCGTCAAGAATGAAAAACGATTTCGTTCATGTGGCTCCCTCTACTGGCCTTACAGTATGCCATTCGGTCACCCCAATTATTAATGACATTTTGGACTACCTCGGCGCCAATTTCACTCAAAACAGTCGTAATATAATGTCATCCACTAACATCCCTTTCTCACGAACTTTCCTCACCAATTTGCGTATAGCTCCTTCGGTGGGTGCTCTATCACGACCCATATTTCTTTTCAAAATTCGTACAGTTTCGGCGACACAGCACTGACTTTGAAAATAAGTTTTTAAAATTTCAAAACGCTCTTCAAGAGAAAACATGTTGTTTCGTGCCGCGGACGGTATGACTAATAAACTGTCAAAATTTCGGGTCTGTAGCTCGTTCGGTGTTGCCATACGACGAAATTCAAAAACGTACCAATAGATGGCCCACCCTGTATTAAAAATGTTTTTATATCTTTATTATTGAAACATTGATTTAGTTTTTAAAAATATTCTTTTAGTTCATGTTAAGAGTGTACTAAAAAGTATTCTCTGATTTGTACTTGATAACATTTATTTTTGATTACTGCATATTTTACAAGAAGAAAATTATAATACATTTTAAGAACAAAAGGCTTTATTAAAAGATATATTCCTTTTTAAATGAAACATAAGTAATATAAGAAAAGTTTATCATATTAATTGCTATTAATATGTTGCTTTATACCTATATCAAAACATTTTGATGTTATAAGATACTAAAAAAAAATATATTTTTATCTCTGTTATTGACATGTTAATTTAGTTTTGGATGTAATATAGTACAACATGTGATATAAAGATAGATATAAGTTTTACAATAAAAGAGTTTGTACATTAAGTGCGACTCGTACAATTAATTATTTCGTATTAATGATTCCGCTATTCCATTCCTTTTTATTATCACTTCATTATCTATTACTTCTCTTTCCACTGCTATCTCTTCTTGCTCTTCCTCTAACAGGAAGTGTCTTCTTCTTCTTCATCATCTTCATAATTAGTTTCATTATGATCTATTAAAAAGTTATGTAGAACATAGGCTGCGATCATTTTATTTCCAAAATCGAAATCAGCAATATCTAAATATTTTAGCCTGCGGAATTTACCCTTTAAAAAGAATATCCTCGTTTTATCATTGATCTTATAGTAGACAGATTAGTATTCAATATATTATTTGAATTCTAGTAAGATGGCCTGTGTCCCGATAAGGTAATAAGTTCACTAGTAATGGATATGCTGCATCGCCAATAATATGACGATCAGGTGGTAACAAGTGATGTTTTAACCTTTGAAAAATTTCTCTCTGTCTAAATACACGTGCATCGTGCATGCGCCTCGGTCCTATCCTACAAATATGTCTATAAGCGTCTTTTATGATCACAGACTTGTTTTAAAAAGAAAGCAAAATTATAGTAATATTGTAAAATATTATATATTATAAAAACAAAATTGAATTACAAAAATTAAATCTTAATAAAAAATGTTTTTAGTATACCTTGTAGGATAATAGAGTGAAAAACTTTTCGATTGTAGAAATCATTAGGATTATCTATAGGAGCTTTGCATGGTATATGACATCCATCAATAATCCCTATTACACCATGAGAACGTCTCTTAAATACCTGTGATAATTTTAGATAATTCAATATACATATATTAAAACAATTTAATGTATGTGTAAACAAACAACTTACCGTTGAAATTATCTCGCACATTCTTTGCATCCGGCACATAATTTGGTAATAAGTCAACTAATATATTTGTAATTTCTTTCACTATACCATGAGCAGTACTTTTTGCTAAATTAAACCGATCTCCAGCAGACAGATAACTTTCTTGCCAGAATCCATATAATAAACATTACTTTTTTTCTTAAATCTACAGGATTATTATGATTTGAGTGCATTGCATGTCCAATTATGTGTACTAAATTCTATTCAAAATGAGCAAAGCAAAAATTAGTATATTATTAATTTTTAAATAAATATATGATAATTGATACATATTTGATATAATATTTGGATTTTTTTATACCTCAAACGTGAATCTAGACATTCTAAAATGTTCTTTAAATGCATAATCGTAGTACAATTACTTCATAATAATTTTTATTTTTTGATCGTATTCTACGTTTATTTGTAACAAATTATTTCGCAATGGTTCGTCCAAATCATTTGCTATGAAGTTTATGATATTTCTGTGTAATTCTATACCTCTCACATCATTCGCATCATCGGCAGCAATTAATATCAAATGTAATAAATCTATGTTCATCGAATAAACAATATGAAAATGACAAATTAACTTAAATAAAATCATACCACGGTAAACAGATGATATAAGTCACGTGGTTTAAGAGAATAGAATCGTTCAGCAATTGGTAACCGCTCACTCAACGATTGTCGCAACATGTTGGAAACAAGTTGAGCTTGCTGAACGTAACTATTATTAAGCTATGATTCTAGTGGGAAGAACCTCGCAAGAAGCATATACGTCAAGGATCACCGGATGGGTCAGGAAGATGAGTCTGACTATGAATTTTCGGGAGCAGCAGGAGAACAAGTGTCTATGATGCACGAAAATACGAGATGTAGTCCGGTTGAGAAGGAAGTAATGAACAATTTCGCTAGAAACTTGGAACGCATGAGACGTGAGAACGAGATTATGCAGTGGACTTAGAATTACGGCGGGAGAGAATTTATGGGTTCGGAAGATGTATTTGAGAAAACAGCTTGAGCTCGTCCGAACTACGTATAGCTTGGATGACAATATGTGCATCCTGATAGGCATGAAGCTGAAACGGAGAGCTTTATAATGGTTCCATTCGAAACTGGAACATTTGGAGATATCAGTGCGCGAAATAATAAGCGAGATGAAGAAGATCATCGGCCGTCAAAAATGAAATTATGTCGGTGGTTCGAGAAAAGAAGTTGGCGTTATGACGAGTCTTTCACTGATTACTATTATTAGGTGTTGGAATTAATTCGTAGCGTTTTTTAATGAAAGAATGTTATTTATTTCACATGAGCATTAAAAAATACATTAATGAAAGTACTTCCCATCACTTGTAAAACGCTACGAATTAATTCCAACACCTAATACAATAAAGTGATACTGGTCAGTAAAGTACCGGTCGACGAAGACGAGTTAGTAGACTTTATTATTGACGGGATTCCAGAAACGCACTTACGCAATAAGGCGCGTATTATCGGTTCGGTGGAAAGGAGGAACTCCTAGGAGTTTTCGAGCAGATCGGAAAATAAGAATCGTCCTGCACGAGGAAAACAGTGAGCAAGTCAGAAAATAAAGCCATCTAAATCGAAAGATGCGAACAATGACGGGAAATCAAGTGTTACAACTGCAACAAGATGGGACATCTTGCGAAGAATAGGACATCTTGTGATAGGCCTAAGAAGGGCTCATATTTTGAGTGCGGATCCATGGGATCGGGCTTTAAATTGTAACAAGAAGAAGACGGCGACATTGTCGGAAGCGAGCCTTAAAGAGGTTGACACTTAGATCTTGAACGTGGCAGTAAAAAGCGAGGTATCGAGTACATAAAAAACGCGGAGATTCAGATAAAAAATAAATTGACATAGAAGATTCAAGCAAATTATTTAAAGGCCGAAAAAAAACCGTTAGAACCAAAGATAAAGATGGAATTAAAATTGCACGTAAAGGAGAAACAACTGTTTTATTATGCACTTAGTAGACTGTCGGTTGATGAAAAAGTTAAGGTACGGACTCTTTTAGATAGACTCTTTAGATGATCTGATCGCACGTATTATTCGTCGTATTATTAGTTCTTTTGAGTATGCTTCACGAACTTTTGGTGCGGAAAAGAGATGGAAGTATAAGAATGTGTGTGAATCGCTGATTCGCCGGGCTCTTATATGATTTGACGAAAAAAGGGGTAGAATTCGAGTTTGGTCTAAAACAAAGAGACGCGTTTGAACTTTTAAAAGGAAAATCGATACCAACTCTGTCCATATACAATTCGACTGATGAAACGGAGTTTTACTGCGACGTGAGCTCGAAAGGTTTCGGAGCAGTGCTACTACAGCGCAAATCGGATAAGAAATTTCCGATTTTTTACTTCTCCAAGAAAACCACTGAAATCGAATCACGTTATCATAGTTATGAACTTGTAACACTCGCAATAATATACGCTTTGAGAAGATTTTGGATATATTTACAGAGTATTCCTTCTAAAATAATTACCGACTGCTACGCGCTAGTTATGACCTTGAATAAAAAAGATATCCATCCAATCGCACGTTGGGCCCTAGAGTTACAAAATTTCGAATATTCAACGGAGCATAGATCAGGGAAAAGGATGTAACATGTATAGACACGTTAAGCGGGGCAAACGGTATTCTGGTGGTCGAAGCTAATACATTCGAATTTTTTTTTGTCTGCCTGTAAAATGCAGGATCCCATTATTAAAGAGTTGAGGACACACTGGGAGAAAGAACAGGATAATTTATACGAAATGCGGAACGGTCTTGTATATCGGAAACGGTGTAATCATGTTTTATTTTTTGTTCCGCGCGCGATGGAGCAGGATTTGCTTCATAAGTTATTACAACGATTTTGGACACTTCGGAGTAAACAAAACTGTAGCACTATTGCAAGAAACATATTGGTTTCCGCTTATGAAAACCAAAGTCTGCGAATATATTCGAAATTGTACGAAGTGCATTGTCTTTTCGAAACCGTCAGGAAGGGCCGAGAGGTTCATGCACGGTATACCCAAGGGAAATGTACCTTTCGAAACTCTACAAGTAGACCATTTCGGCCCTGTGGATAGAACGCATGCGTCAAAGAAATATGTAATTTTAGTTGCGTTTACCAAATTTGTAAAACTGTCCGCAGTAAAGACTACCACTTCTAATAAGACAATTCTATGTCTAAAGGATTATTTTAGCGCTTATAATAGCGCTAAAACTTTGATATCAGACCGGGGAAACCAGCTTTATCTCGAAAGAGTTCGAAGAGTTTATGAAAGAGACTAACGTGAAAGTAGCAACCACGTCGCCAGGCAAACGGACAAGTTGAACGATATAACCGAATGCTAGCGCCGGCATTAAGAAAACTAAACGGGGGTAAGGATTGGCATAAATCATTAAGGGAAATTGAGTTCGCTATGAATAATACTATAAGTCGAACGACAGGCGAAACTCCTAGCCGACTGTTGTTTGGTATATCGCAGCGTTTGGTGTGGACAGGTGTTTGATGCGTTGAGGAAATACGTGGACAAACATAATGAGTTCGAGAAAAGAGAGAGAAACTTAGCACGAATGCAAGAAAATGCAGCCGAAAAGATTAAAAAGACATGCGAGTATAATGATACATGTTAATGAGAAACGGAAAGCGGCGCAACAATACTGTGAAGGTGATCTAGTTGGAGTGCGGAATTTCGAGGCTATGGGCGATAAATTAGTTCCTTTTATCGGGGTCCATATACTGTTGTTCATAAGTTAAGGAACGACCGATATGTCGTGACCGACATTGAAGAGTGCCAAGTGTCTCGGCCTTATCAAGGCACATGGAAAGCGGCTAATATGAAACCGTGGCGAAATAGGTCGACGGAAGAGGTATTACTGGAGAGCGACTCCGAAAGCGAAGATGATAAATTGTAGCGACAGCGTATAGAACAAAGCGGCCGGGACGACCTTTGTTAGAATTTTCGAATAATCGAAATTGTAATTTAATAGAGTAGTCGCGAAACCTTTTTCTCTGTTGATTCAAATTTCGCGGAATTAGATCAGATCGTCGTGGTGTGGCGACCTGAGGCACGCGAGTGCTGATTGATACGCGTGATCGCAGAGCACCCAATGAGGAAGCCCGAGAGAAGAGGAAGGATCGGGGGATCCTTCGAGAGGAGAGAACAAGAATGACCTCGGAGGAAGAAAGTCTCGCGTCTCGCTAAAAGAAAATAAAAAAAGTGTTCAGCTTTACATCTCGTAACGAGTATCTTTTTAAATCCCCAACTTTTTCTCTACATTATAAATTGCTGAAATTTATTTTGCAATGTAGTATTTTCTTTTAAGAAAACACACCTTGATATGAATCTGCTACATTCATGTGTAACGATCTATTTTTAATATATAAGACTATTATCAGTTCCCAGTAAAGTGAAAAAAATTTTCAATTAATAGGATATTTTTTATTTATTCATAAAAATAAACAATTTCATTTTATAATCTAATCTTAAAGGATAATTTAAAGCTCTGCAGCGTTCGGAATTAATTCTTGGCACTCGGATTGCTCGAAGATTACGTGATCAAGCTCGCCATCTGCTAGCTCGCATCTCAGATTTATATTGCTGAACGCACTATGGTAGCGAGATGAAACACATGCCTGCCACGGTCGAACGATCTCTCGAGACCGTCAGAGACTAAGGACAAAGGACTTTGTCATTGCTATTTTCCAAACTCAACTAACTTAATACCTGCATATTATTTCGTTTACATGTAATCTCCACAAATATTAATAATATTAAACTGTCAACAGAGGCTGAAATTAAGAATGATTATGATAGAAGGTATAATGTTGGCAATGACTCGATCACAAGCGTGCAATTAGCTCAGCATAAATGTATTAAGTCATCGTTCTAAGTTCGAATCTTATCGACGATGTGATGACGTTTTTTCATAATTAATTGTAGAATATACAATAAATAAGACAGAATATACATAAATATGCAAAACAG